AACTAGAAGTCTGCCCTTGTAAGGTCATCACTGCTAAAAACAGCCCATCCTGCTCCTCAAAAAAAAAAAACAACAGAGAAGTTAAGTGCAGCAATATCTTTTTCTCACCTATAGTGTGATTTATGTGAAACAAAACCCCAACAGCAAACTGACAGAAAAAACCTCAAGTAAGTTGAGAAACTGAATATGAGACAGCAGACCAAAAAGCCAACTGTATCCTGGGCTGCATCAAAAGGAGTATGACCAGCAGGTCGAAGGAGGTGATCCTGCCCTCTCCTCTGCTCTGGTGACACCTCCCTCACTTGGAGTACTGTGTACAGTTCTGGTGTCCTCAACATAAAAAGGACATGGAACTGTTGGAACAAGTCCAGAGGAGGGCCACCAGGATGATCAGGAGACTGAAGCACCTCCCATATGAAGACAGTCTGAGAAAGTTGGGGCTGTTCAGCTTGGAGAAGAGAAGGCTGCCTGGAGACCTCATATCAGCCTTTCAATATCTGAAGGGGGCCTATAAGGATGCTGGGGAGGGACTCTTCATTAGGGTCTGTAGTGACAGGACAAAGGGTAACGGGTTAAAACAAACAGGGGAAGTTTAGATTAAATATAAGGAAGAAGTTCTTTACTGTGAGGGTGGTGTGTCACTGGAACAGGTTGTCCAAGGAAGTTGTGAATGCATCATCCCTGGCAGTGTTCAAAGCCAGGTTGGACAGAGCCTTGGATGACATGGTTTGAGGTGTCCCTGACCATGGCAGGGAGGGTGGAACTTGATGATCTTAAGGTCCTTTCCAACCCTAACTATTCAATGATTCTATGAAGTTGAATTTCAGCCAGATACTACCTTATTCTGTGTTTTGGGAAAGAACAAATGGTGTTAACTATTACAGTAGTAAAAATGCTCTCACCACTTTGGCTCATTCCCTGTAATATAATCCTCTCATTATTGAGAGTAATCACATCTGCAATTGACTTCTACCTACAGTGCTGCTAGCAGCGTTTCAAATCAGCCCTTCCTTCAAAAAACAAGAGTAAATGAGATCACCTGCAACGCTAAGGAGACTGAACTACCATTTCCCAAATAAAGTGATGGTTTAAAGCAAGTAAGAGCTGACACAAAAGTTTAAAATAAAAAAAAAATTAAAAATAAAAATAAAAAGAGACACACACAAAACACAGATTTGAAATACAGGCACACAAAGTTGCAAAAGTCATCTCTCCTCCTCACCCTCTCACCTGTACAGTGTCAGATCCTCAAAAATATGCCTATAGTCTGTTACAGACTTGATATATGCAAATGATTAGTCAATCTTGGTCTTTTGAATTTTAAATGTAAAATCTGAACCTCTTTTCCTGTACAAGCATATAGACATGCACAAAGCCCAGACTGATTTTCCTCTTATTTTCCTGTTAAGAAATCAGGGCCCAGCCCAGCCAGACTTCTCATTATTACATGAGGCAGGGTGCCAGGGCTTTAAAATGTGGTAGCAACTATTAAAAGACACTGTAACAATCCTGAAACAATTAAAGAAAACAGTAAAAAGCAATATGCCCTTTTATCTAGAAATATGGTGCAGCTACAGCAAGAATGTTGTGGAGCAATGGTTATTCTCACGAGGGCCTGCGCAACCCAGGATTAGAGCTGAGTGAGACAGCCTTGAACTCTCTCTGACTCAGCTGAGCCGAGGAGGCCTGGAGTCAAAGAAATGTAAGCAGAACGCTGAAACAGGAGCTTGCTGGCCGCAAGGAATGCACCGCTTATCACAAGGCATGCACCCTGCTGTTGCAGAGATATGTGTGTAAAACTTAGCTTAGACAATAGCAATGTATAGACAGGCGCGTGAACAGTTGTTGGGGACCAATGATAGCTTTGCTTTAGGAGTGTGGCTAATTTAGAATCCTATATAAACACTGTGTATGCAAACAATAAAGGAGAGCGATCATACTCATATTGAGGTTGCGTCGTTACTCCGGGCCCGACTCCCACTCCGACAGAATGTAGCCAAAACACTTGTGTTCTATTCTCTTGAGGAAATAGGTTTAGGTGAGGAACACACAGGTAACCTCATTGAGAAACAAAACAGTCCTGAGATTCTGGAAGTCAACTGAGAACACTGGATAAGGCTCCTGCTCCAAGGCAGCTGTGTGCTGAAAGTACCAGCATCAGTTCAGAAGTGTTGAGTTCAAGATGGCTTATAGGAGGAATCCAATTTGGCCACTAACACAGCAGGAATTTGTGGGAGGGGGGACTATGACTATAAAACAATCCACTGAGGTCCACCTCTCCTTGTACCCCAACCTACGACTTTTGTACACACCAATGTTCCTTCTTCTGTTCCTAGGAGTTTGTCCCCAGCTTTAAAAAGAAAGAAAGTCTGGCCTCAGACTTACCAGAAGGACCTGTCCACCTTTGAGTTATATCTTATATATTATCTATCTCTCTATATCTTACCTCCCAGCACCAGAGGGAGGAGCAAGGACTGTTCTTTTCAGCTTTCTGCTCTGTCCCTATAGTTTTGGAGCACAGTGTACGGACCTGTTTTGGTAAACATTTATCCAAGATGCATGTGCTTTCTTTCAAGGATGCAGTGGAGGAATAGGAGAGGAAAAAAAAACCACCAAGAAAACCCCACAAAAAACACACACACAAAACCAAAGACACGCACCCCTCCTCCCCCAACATGTTACACTGAAATTCTCTCATAGCATTCACCAGCTAAGTCTACCGCAACACCTATGGAGTTCAGCACCCACTTCCTGATAACAGCCCCAGATATTTTGGGCTGGGGCTTGCCTCTCCTTATATGTCTGTAGCACAACTCACTACTGAATGACCCTGGTTACCAGTTACATGTTTACAGAAGACCAGGATTTCAACTGGTTTTGGCCTCACTGTAATGGACAGTGACATAAGCAATGAAAACAAAACTAGTCTTGGCTCTGTTTGGGTGATTTTGTCTGGCTGGTTAGTTTTCCTTAAACACAATTTTTAACAACTGTAGTTGCTTTTGCTTAATACTTCCTATTTATACAGCACCCAGGAACTTAACCATCTCATCACAACACCTATGGAAGGTCGCCAAAGTCACAGGTCAGTGAACAATTCAAACTGCACAAGCTGACAGCCACTGAGAGAAGCTACCTCCACCTTTTCTGCCTGCTCCTCTTCCCTGTACCATCAAAAGCAGTTGTGCAGACCTGCAGTGAGCCCACCCATGACAACTCTAACCCGGAGCAGGTCCTTGATGCAGCACACACATGAAAAGCTCTTCTTTGGGCAGTGGTATCACCTTAAAAGTCTTTGTGAAACTACACGACTGACACTGAAATGCATTCTTAATTGAATGAGTAGGTCTCCTTTCTGCCTTAACAAAAAAATCTCAACACTGTTTAAGTTTTGCATTCAAGAAAACTGTGCTGCAGTTTAACCCAAACACAGCAAATGTGTTCTTAGGTTTTTTAAAAGGAACTGTTAAAACTGTTTTTTAAAAGGCTGTTAGCAGACACTAAATACCTGGAGGTAACAGACATTTAGTTCCATTCAAGTTTTCAAGTCTTTTCTGTTAGATTCAGAATCAATTACAGTTCATGTCTATCTGTGGATTTAGAGTGTATCAGGGCTTGTGGGACTGTTTTTTGTTATTCGCTTATTTTTACAATACGTGTTTCTACAGGATTTGGTTGCCGCTGTGCCTTTGAACCAAACAGATCATCAAGCATCTTGATTTAGAAATACATGCCCAAATTATTTTTCTATTGCTTATTAAAAATAACAAATCCTTTCAATATAATAAATAAACCCATCAAATTCTTTCAATGACAGAAGTTCCACTGTGCACAGTTAAATCCACAGGTTCTCTCAGAAGAGGTCTGGCAAAACATGAATGGTGAGCAGTGCTGTAAAGTTTCTCTGACAAGTCTACAATCTCTTCAGTTTCTGATCAGGATTCCTGTACCATGCAAACCTGGGAAACATTCTCACACAAACATTTAATGCATATGAACTCATAGAAAAAAAGAATAATGCAGCTTAAATACACACATTTTTCTCAAGCAACAATTTAAGGCCAATTAGGAAAGAAGAACATGACCTTGTAAGAAATATGGGGATCCAATTACGCAAAAAAATCCTTATTCAATGAAGATGCATCTATCATGAGCATAAAGATTTTTTCCTCATTGCACAGATATTTACGAGTTACTGATACATACAAGTTACAGATATATAAAAGTTACTGACAAGGACTCCAGATGCAAACCAGCACTAATGCTAACTTCACAGAAGAGAGCTTTGTCCTTAAATCCTCATATTTTTACATCTAATAAAGAACAATAACAGCACCTTTAGACTGAAGTCTAAACCATGATTGGGAGTAAGATAAAGAGGAAGATACAAAGGTCATACTCCATTTTTATATGCTGTCAATTAGAAAAAAATAACCAATTTAAACTTAGCAGTTTATAAAAGTGCCATCCTGACATATATTCTATTTTCATGTATTTGAGAATTTTGTAATATCTGAATGGAGTTTAAATACTAAGCTTCCTCAGGCCTCTTAAAGAAAAACATGAGACTTCTTCCTCCTTACAGTCTGGAAAAAGCTTCATGGACCAAAATATAATCTTCCATTCCATTTTTTATCCTAGCTAGGATTTGCTGGTTTACAGCCAGTTGGCATTCTCCCTTAGTTCCAAGCAGGTATTTATTACCTCTTAAGACAGGGAGCATTCTAGGAGTTTGTTATGCCTGTGCTGCATAATAACAAAACAGCAAAACAAGTAACTTATTTCTTATGAAGATAGGTATACACACATTAAATACAGAAACCGTTAACATAGAATACCTGATAATTTAGATCAACCAGTTTAATTTACATTACCTAAATCCTCCTAGAATTAACTCTGTTACTTCTCCACAAGTTCCTTTTTACAATCTAAACTTTGCCAGCACTGATCATGTTGGCCAGAATATTGCCAACCTTAACAAAGCAAATGAAAATGCTTACCAGCAGCAACTACGGCTAGAGGTGGCAAGCTTGCCTCACCACCACTTGTTTGGCTCATGGATGCTATAGATTTTTCTGTGGAAGGTGGTAACTGCAGCTCCTTTGGGAGAAGGTCATAGACAGATTCTGTTAAACAAAAAGGCCTTAATCAAGAATTAATTCATGATATGCAAGAAAAAAGAAATAACATTTTTGCCTAAGATACGAACGACAAATCAGCCTTTTCATAACCTTCTGAAAAGGTCACATTAAGCATTTGGAAATCTTTACATCATGGAATAAAGCTATTTCAGAAAACAAACCAACCACAAAAACATTAAGATACACATTCTGAAAACTGAAACAAAAGGACAAAAACTTGTTCAAAAAAATAATTCAGGAAATTCCACAGAAAAGGTACTCATTTAGAGCGAAGGGGTTGACAGCTGTCCTGGGTTTAGCAGTAGCAGTCAATTTCTCACCTTCTTAGTAGCTGGTGCAGCACTGCGTTTTCACTTTCAGCCTGGGAACAGAGCTGATAAGACTGATGTTTTCAGTTGTTGCTAAGTAATGTTTACTCTGACCAAGGACTTTGTGAGTCTCATGCTCTGCCAGGGAGGAATGGAGGCCGGGAGGAAGCAGAGACAGGACACCTGACCCAAGCTAGTCAGAGAGTTATTCCATACCACAGCACGTCATCCCTGGGGAAGTAACAGGGAGTTACCCGGAAGGGCACTCGCGCTCTTGTGGGTCAGACTCGTTTCGGTAGGTGGTATCATATTCTCTTCCCTTGTTATTTTCTCTTATCATTATTATCCTTGGTGGTAGTGGTGGTAATTTGTGTTATACATAAGTTACTGGACTGTTCTTGCCTAAACCCATGGGAGTTACATTCACAGTATCACAGTATCACAGTATGCTAGAGATTGGAAGGGACCTCAAAAGATCATCTAGTCCAATCCCCCTGCCGGAGCAGGAACACCTACATAAGGTTACACAGGAACGTGTCCAGGTGGGTTTTGAATGTCTCCAGAGAAGGAGACTCCACAACCTCCCTGGGCAGCCTGTTCCAGTGTTCTGTCACCCTCACTGAGAAGAAGTTTCTTCTCAAGTTTAAGTGGAACCTCTTGTGTTCCAGTTTGTACCCATTGCCCCTTGTCCTATCATTGTTTGCCACTGAGAAGAGCCTGGCTCCATCCTCGTGACACTCCCCCTTTATATATTTATATACACTAATAAGGTCACCCCTCAGTCTCCTCTTCTCCAAACTATAGAGACCCAGCTCCCTCAGTCTTTCCTCATAAGGGAGATGCTCCACTCCCTTAATCATCTTAGTTGCCCTGCGCTGGACTCTCTCCAGCAGGTCCCTGTCCTTCTTAAACTGAGGGGCCCAGAACTGGACACATATTCCAGATGCGGTCTCACCAGGGCAGAGTAGAGGGGAAGGAGGACCTCTCTTGACCTACTAACCACCCCCCTTCTAATACACCCCAGGATGCCATTGGCCTTCTTGGCCACAAGGGCACAGTGTCGGCTCATGGTCACCCTGTCGTCCACCAGGACCCCCAGGTCCCTCTCCCTTACACTGCTCTCTAACAGGTCGTTCCCCAATCTATACTGGAACCTGGGGTTGTTCCTGCCCAGATGCAGGACTCTACACTTTCCCTTGTTATATTTCATCAAGTTATTCCCCGCCCAACTCTCCAGCCTGTCCAGGTCTCGCTGGATGGCAGCACAGCCTTCTGGCGTGTCAGCCACTCCTCCCAGCTTAGTGTCATCAGCAAACTTGCTGATAGTACACTCAATTCCCTCATCTAAATCATTGATGAATATATTAAATAATACTGGTCCCAGTACTGACCCTTGAGGCACTCCACTAGATACAGGCCTCCAACTAGACTCCGCCCCATAGACTACAACTCTCTGGCTTCTCTCCTTCAGCCAGTTCACAGTCCACCTCACTACCTGATCATCCAGACCACACTTCCTCAATTTAGCTGCGAGGATGCTGTGGGAGACTGTGTCAAACGCTTTGCTGAAGTCAAGGTAGACCACATCCACCGCTCTGCCATCATCCATCCACCGTGTTATTTCCTCATAAAAGGCTACGAGATTGGTCAAGCATGACTTCCCCTTAGTGAAGCCATGTTGACTGCCCCTCATAACCCTCTTATCCTTGGTATGCCTTAAGATGGCACCAAGGATAAGGTGTTCCATCACTTTCCCAGGAATGGAGGTGAGGCTAACCGGTCTATAGTTACCTGGGTCCTCCTTCTTGCCCTTTTTGAAGACAGGAGTGACATTTGCTTTCCTCCAGTCCTCAGGCACCTCTCCTGTTTCCCAAGACTTGGTAAAGATGATGGAGAGCGGTCTAGCAATGACCTCCGCCAGTTCCCTCAGCACCCGCGGGTGCATCCCATCTGGACCCATGGATTTATGGATGTCCAGATTGCTCAACTGGTCTCTAACCCATTCCTCATCGACTAAGGCAAACCGCTCCGTTGACCTGACTTCATCTGAGGTCTCAGCGGTACAGGGCTCTTCAGGACTGCCTCCGGCAGAGTAGACAGAGACAAAGAAGGCATTCAGTAACTCTGCCATCTCTGTATCTTCTGTCACCAGGGCACCCGTCCCATTCATCAGTGGGCCTACATTGCCTCTGGTGTTAGTTTTATCTGCCATGTATTTGAAAAAGCTCTTTCTGCTGTCCTTGACCCCTCTCGCCAGCTTTAATTCCAAGGAGGCCTTAGTCATCCTAGCTGCCTTCCTACATCCTCTAGCAGCAGCCTTATATTCCTCCCAAGTGGCCAGCCCCTCCTTCCATGACCTGTAAACTCTCCTCTTCCACTTGAGCATACCCAGCAATTCCCTATTTAGCCACGCAGGTCTCCTGGCCCTCTTCCTTGACTTCCTACGTGTCGGGATGCTCTGATCTTGAGCTCGGAAAAAGCAGTCCTTGAACGTCAACCAACTATCTTGGGCCCCTTTACCTTCAAGCAGCCTTGCCCATGGGATTTCCCCTAGCAATTGCTTGAAGAGGCCAAAGTTTGCCCTGCTAAAGTCCAGGGTTGCAATTCTACTTGCTATTCTACTGGTCCTACCACACAAGATCCTGAATTCCACCATCTCGTGGTCGCTGCAACCAAGGCAGCCCTCAACCTTTACTGCTTCGACCAAACCCTCCTTGTTAGTGAGGATGAGATCCAGCAGCGCTCCTCTCCTGGTTGGCTCATCCACCATTTGCATGAGGAAGTTATCATCCATACACTGGAGGAACCTCCTGGACTGCGGCTGGGTTGCCGAGTAGTCCTTCCAGCAAACATCAGGGAAGTTAAAATCCCCCACGACGACCACGGCCTGTGACTGTGAGGCCGCTCTCAGCTGCCTGTAGAAGGCCTCGTCAACTTCCTCACCCTGATCCGGTGGCCTGTAACAGACCCCCACAACAGTATCGCCCCTGCCAGCCTGTCCCTTAATTCTCACCCACAGACTCTCAACTCGCTCATCATCTGTCCCCAGACAGAACTCAACGCATTGTAGCTGCTCTCACGCATAGAGAGCAACCCCACCACCCCGCCTGGCTGGCCTGTCTTTCCTGAAAAGGACATAGCCCTCCATGACTATATTCCAGTCATGTGAGCTGTCCCACCACACTCTGTAATTGCCACGAGATCATAATCTCCTGACTTAACACAGGTTTCTAATTCCTCCTGCTTATTTCCCATGCTGCGCGCACTGGTGTACAGACATTTCAGGGAGCGAGCTGAGCACACCGATTTCACCCTAGGATCATAGGAGGCCTCCCAGTCTTCATCAATTCTGGAGTGCTGCCACACTGGGGCAAGCCTAGCTACAACCCCATCCCCCTTCGAATCTAGTTTAAAGCTCTCCAAATGAGCCCTGCTAATTTGTGCCCCAGCATCCTTTTGTCTCTGTGTGATAAACCTTTCCCACATGCCATTGTCCAGACTGCTGTCCTATAAAACCAGCTGTTATCAAAGAATCCAAAGCCCTGCCTGCAGCACCAGTCTCGAAGCCAATCGTTTATGGACTGAATTTCCCCATTCCGTCCCACATCGTCAATGGAAGATGAAAGGAGTGAGAGGAAGATCACTTGAGCCCCAGACTCTTTCACCATCTGCCCCAAGGCCCTGTAGTCTTTCTTCATCCCCCTCAGACTGCGAGAAGAAGCTGCGCTAGCTCTGATCGGCTGACTGAATGCTAGTATTGAGTTTCAGCCACTTCCTTCGATTTTCCTCCCCATACCTCTGGGAGCAGGGAGGGGGGGAGTAGAAACTGTGTGTATGACTGGGTTTAAACCACAACAGTTCTTTTTGGCGCCCAATGTGGGGCACAAGGGGTTGAGATAACGACAGATATGACCTGAATGCGTCTAATCATATTTCTGATAAGCATTCATTGTTTTAGATTAATAGTCACTCGTCACAATGCTGATTTATTGGCTCTCAAAGTTGTTCCTCTTGATCTCACAGTTTCAGTATATCGTACCTTACTTCCATCTGGTATTTGCTGTATTAGTGTTTTTCAAGTGTGGGGCTTGGGCTAAAGTTTTTGTCTCATTGTACTTTATGGTAATGACTTGTAATACAATAGAATTATTGATCATGAAACTTATCTGGCTTATGTTCCCAGTATGGTCACCACCTTTATACTTTGGGAGGTATATAATAGAAGTGCTTAGCAATTACACATATTTTTTCTCCTTCTCGGGTGGTCAACCTGTGAAGGAGGCATTCTTTTACCCTCCCAGTCCTCCCCCCAGAGCATTTACAGCATCATTTGAGAGTTTTGAATGGCCTTTTAATGCTATTGAGACTTGTTTGCTGATTGTGATGGGGATCACCATGTTGGCACGTATACAGAGTGTATTTTGGCCACAACTATTTCATCTGTTTTCAAAAGTTAAGCAGAGTCAGGTTTGGGTCTTGTCTGGGGTTAAACGACGAAGTAGGAGGACCAAGAGATTTTCTCTGAGGCTGGACAGCCATGAGTGGCAGGGTGTGTGGGACAGTATGGGCAAGTATCTAGGTCAGTGGGCCCCTCCAGTACTTTGGAATTTCACCACCGAACAACTGCAAAATCCAGAAGAATTAGTAAAACACTTAAATGAGGTGTGTGGTCATTCT